AATTGGGATAAAGGCATTTGGTTGGAATTTGGTTAATCTGAGAATCATGAACCCCCAGATCCTGAACCTCCTTTGCCAGTAGGAGCAACTATTCCACCTATATCTAAAGAGAAGGCAATCCCTTGCTTGAAGACACTAAATTGACCTTGTCTGAGTTAAGGGAATGCTGATTCCTCTCATGACCCATCCCACTACCCCTTATTGCTGCCATACTCATAGTTAGAATCGGATTTAGACTTCCTGGAATGACTAATATAAAGTCTGTCCTGGTGAGGAAATATCTTACATATCAAAAATTTGTTTTCCACTTCAGTAATGTTTCTAGGGACCAATTGCTTCGAAGTATGCAGGGCTATCTCTTAAAACGGAGGGAAAGTTTCTTCATTTGCACCACTCACTGTTAAGAAAGAGACATTGCTTCTGGTGGGCCTCTGTAGTTTTTCAAAGGTGGAAGTGTGTGGTGGTAACATTATAGTCCCAGTCAGGGGAAGCCATGAAAAACAGAAAAAAAAAAAAAAAAAAAGAAAAAAAAAAAGAATACTCCCAGTGGACAGAGCTTTAAGCAGTATATCTGATTGTCCATATTGCCTGGATACCATGCTGACCATTGCCTAATGGTTTGCCATTTGGTAATTAGGAAGACTGGGTAAATGGTGTGTCTCCCCAAATGGGCAGAGTTATTCTATGTGAATGTTCACCAAAAGAAATCAATTGCATAGGAGACGCTCAATAATGATGTAGATAAACACCCTGTGAATATTAGCCTCTTTCCCTAAGCCATTCTTTCTCTTGTTCAATGAGCTCTTGTTTATAGTGACAATCATATCAAGCATGGAGTTTATACAAGAGCTGAATGCACGGCCTTACCTTCACCAGGGCTGATCTGGCTATTGCACTGTTGAGGGCCTGTCTTGCTACCAGGAAAAGTCAACATAACCTAAGAGATGGCTTCATTCCTTAGTGAATTCGACCTGTTACCTGGAGGGAGGCTGATCACATAGTTCTGCTTCTGTTATGGCATGGACAGTAATTTCTTCTCACTGAAATAATTATTTATATTGGGTGTGGGTTCTTCTTCTGTCACCATGATGTGGCAGCACTATCATAATTGTCTTAATGAATGCCTTATGCATCATTTACCTGATCATATTTACCAGCACATTGCTTCTAACCAAGAAACTCAATTTATGGCAAAAGTACAACAGGAGGTTCATGCTCATGGAATTCACTGATCTTACTACATATCTCAATAATCAGAAACTCAGCCTTGTAGATAATTATGATGTCCTGTTGAAGACTCAGATAAGACTCTAGCTAGTAGACAATGATAAACAAGTTTTGGGTGTTGTCCTATAGGATGGGGGATATGCTTTGAGGTAGCAACCTGTGTATTTGTTATCTGGGATCAAGGAGTAGAAGAGAGGGTGAGTAGTAGAAGAAGGAAGTTTTATATATTAAGTGCAGTCTCATAAACATTTAGAGTAATAAAAATTGTAGCAGCTATATACTTTCTCTTGTTTGTTTTATGTGCACACACATAAACATACATATATTTGTGTGTATGCTTATATATATATATAATATATTTATTCCAATTCTTTATTTTTTCCCTTCCTCTTTCCCTTATTTTATTTTTCTATTCATACTATATGTAAGGTAGATAACCTTGTAAATTTGTCTCTAGGTTACAGAATATGCCTCAGTTAGAAGGGAAATTAATACCTCCATCCTAGAGATGGGCTAAGTTACTGATAGGACTTAATTCCTGCCTTGGCCACATCTCAAGTGAGAGTTAAAGAAAATTCCTCTCTTGGGTGCAGCAAAGGTTTGTATCTTGTTTCTTGATGGTGTTGTTCTGTTAAACTAGTTGTGACTCCTAGTCTAGCTTGTGGTTTTTTTGGCAATACAATTCTCTCAAGTTTATTTAGGCCTGCTATATGTTTGCTTAATTATTGGCAGTTTCCTTTGCAATTTCGTCTTTAGTTTAAAGAAAATCTATTCAGGTTTGTGACTAAACTAGACGGATTAACATCACCCTGAGATGAATTTGGCAACTGATTGGACTATGTGTCTCTCTTTTTTGGGAAAGAGTAAGAGCCTCCTCATAAGAATGATAATTGCAATATATTAGGCAGAAGTGTGATGATGTTGCTATTTGTTTGGTATGTATGGGAAGAAGGATGAAAATGTATCCTGTGTAGTCTAAAGGGTGTACTTTTCAAGTTATGTGTCTGTTGGCCATTAACTCCATTGCTTCCCTTCTGGACTCTCCTATTTGCAAGGGGACTGGCAGCCTGTAAACTACACTTCCCAGTGTTCCTCACCAGCTGACTTCCACTTAGGTGTTGCCAATAACAGGCTGACAGTAGATTTGAACAGAGGCAAAGGGAAGCCTCTATTTTTTCCTCTCTGTTTCTAGTGGCATTTTTGGCAGCAGGAGCAATGCTGGGTGATTGAAAGCTCCCGTATTTATCCTCAGGAATAAATACGGTTCCATCAGCAGCAGCAACAGTGGATGATTCAGCATTACAGTGCTTCTAGGCTCTGGCTTTGGCAACTGCAGAAGCAGCAGAAACAGCAGGTGACTGTGAACTGCCTCTCATAGCATCAGAAAGAGTATGGGCTCTTAGCTTCCTGCAAAAAGACGTAGCGACTGCAGTTCCAGCAGTAGTAGCAGCAGCCCATGCTTCAGAAACTTTGTTTATATAGATATCATGAGCTTTGATTAGTAACCATTTTCCCTTTTTGCTCCAATAAGTGTACTGCTTTTGTAACCAATCCCTATATCAGTTTATTTTTGTTTCAAACACTTAGTATGATTTTTTTTTTCCAGTTTGGATGCTTAGAGATAGAAATGCGTATAGTATGATAGCATTTATTTAATGTTTAAGAGCATGAAAAATAATAGTCAATATTGTTTAAGGATTTATATGTTATCTAAAAAGCTCAGAACGGTAAACTTCAAATACAGGATACTGGTTATGGAGGGGATGGAGAAGAATGTGTTTGGGAAGTACATGCTGGGCTTCAAATATTTTTTTTTTTTTTTTGTCTTTTGTCTTTTTCCGTGTCCGGCAATGGATCGCAACCCTCAGTGTTGCCCCCGTACCGGACCGGGGACCGGCAACGGGATCGCAACCCTCA